CAATTACATAGGTAGTCTCTCTGTCTGCGCTCTACCGCTAGATTAGGGATTTAGGGTAGGTTTTGTATACTTTGAGTTATTGAGTTTGTCGCTACTTGCTTCAAGCTTTGTTCGAACGCACTCTGTCGACTGCTGAGATTTAGCGTAGGCTTTGTATAATTGTATTCCGCAGCTGCAAGCCTGGGATATATATTGCTATTTACACTACTCATTTAATGATTTAATAGGAATAATAACTTTATAGGTTGTGCACATAGAAAAGTGTACCACCTTAAATGTAGTCAAACATTAAATGTTAATTATTTATTTTTATTTAATAACCAAATTATTAAAAAAAAAAAAAAACAAAAAAACAACAACAATAACAACAACAACTAAACCCCTCTCCTCTTCGGTGATAAGGCGAGGGGCTGCCTTCTCCGGTGAGAAGACAGCTCATCAAGTGGGTTGCTTCAACCTAGTTTCCTTCTCCGGTGAGAAGGCATGCCCATTGCCTTAGGCAACTGGGTTGCCTTCTCCGGTGAGAAGGCAGCGCGGCCCACTTGATGGGCTGTCATGTTACTTTTTTCTCTAGCTTTATCATCTGGGTGGACTATTAGGCTGCAACTTGATGTTTATAATGCCTTTTTAAATGAAAATTTATTTGAAATTGTGTACATGAAGCAACCACCTGGTTATATTGATGCTCAGTATCCAAATCATATTTGCTTACTGAAAAGGTCTCTCTGAGGGTTAAAACAGATACCTAACTAGGGCTTGGTTTAATCGTTTGCACAACTTCATATCCGTTGGTTTTTAGGCATAAAAAACGGATGAATCCTTGTTTTACTACTCACAAGGATCTGATCGTGTATATCTGTTAGTTTATGTGGATGTTATACTTATATGATGGGGAGTGATCAAGATCTAATTACTCAGCTAGTGACAAAACTTTCCACTGCATTTAAAATTAGAGATCTTGGTGAACCTGGATTTTTTTTTGGAATTGAGACAGTTAAATGCAATGATAGATGGAATTTTACTTTCACAACAGAGATACATGAATGACATTCTAAAACATGCTATAATGGCAGAATGTAAAGAACTATCTACTCCTATTTCTACTTTGAAACCCGTGATCATCGATACAGGCTTGTAATATGATCCTACACTTTACAGGAGTCTGGCTGGTGTATTATAGTATTTAACTATCACTCGTCCTGATCTTTCCTTTGCAGTCAATCAGTTGTGTCCGCATATGCATGCTCCTACAGTTTCTCGTTGGGAACAATTAAAACGAGTTTTGAGCTATGTCAGAATCAAAGAAACAGTTCCTTTAACAATTAAAACAGTTCCTACATGTGGCTTTGTTGTGTTTCTTGGCACTAATCTTGTGTCCTGGGTCTGCAAGAAACAAAGAACTGTTGCTAGACCTTAGGCTGAATATAAAGCTCTAGCAGATGTGTCTGTGCTGAGGTAATCTGAATTATGTCACTTCTGCGAGAAATCAAGATTTTAGGTATCTCTGTCCCTAAATTATGATGTGACAATCTTGGGGCTATGTATATGTGTGTAAATCCTATTTTTCATGCTCGCACCAAACATGTAGAGATAGACTATCATTTTGTACGAGATAAAGTTGTTGCTGGAGACATTCAAGTTAATTTTATCTCAACAAAAGATCAACTTGCAGATATATTTATTAAAGCTTTGCCTAGTCCTAGGTTTTCTTTTCTTAGAGACAAGCTACTAGTATACCATGTGCTTGAGGGGAGTATTAGGACTAGTATTAGGACTCTTTTGTATTTGAGTCATAGTGTGACTCCCTGTCCTAGTCTCTCTATAATTCCTCTTGTATATATTCCTCATATAATTCCTCTTGTATGTATATATTTCTTGTATGTATATATTTCCCTAGTCTGTACAACAGGGCCGGCCCTGGGGCAAGGGCAGGCTGGGCCCTTGCCCAGGGCCCATGCTTGGGGAAGGGCCTCATCCTATTTCTTATATACAGTATATATGTATTGAGTATAAGTAATTTATATACAAATGTTTTACAATAAGGTGAATTAGTTTGGTTGGTAAGATACTTGAATTTTAACCTCATTTAATCAAAGGCCCGTGATCCAATCCTTCCCTTCACATTTTAGATTAGAATTCCTCAACTTTACTTCTTTGCTTATATTCTAATGTATCTTTTAAAAAATTATTTTATTAATTTTTGTGTTTGAAAATTTTTTATATTAAATATATAAATTTTTATATTAAATTTTAATGCAGCTTCTAAATTTATAAAGTTTTATATAAATATACTAAACATATTATAAAAAATTGAATTAAATAAAGTTCAATCAACTCATGTTAACTAAACAAGACACGTAAAAAAAATAAAAGATAATTTACTCCGTACCTTTGTATGAATATCTAATCAATGTAATATATAAGCTTCTATCATGTGTCATTGTATTCAAATTATTCTAAAAAAGCTTGAAATTTATGTATTTAAAAGAAAAAGTATTTATAAAATTCATATAAATAATATAAAAGATGTGTGATTATAATATGCTTTATGTTCAAACTATTTTATCTACATAATTATGTTTCATATCTTTTTACATTTTTTATTGCGTTTTAAAATATTTTAATTTCTTACTCCTAGTCAAAAAAAATTTTAGCTTCACATATGTTTGTAATTATTGTTTTATATATTTTTAATAATAATTAATTTATTATTTATTATGATAAAAATATTATTATTTATAAGTTTACTCGATTTTAAATTATTTATTCATATTATAAACTATAATAATTATTTATCTATGAAGGCACTTATACGATTATTTATTATTTTGCATTAAGGAAAGCACCTAGAATTTTTTTTCAATGATTATTATTGTGTATGAAAATTGTTAAAAACTTGTTAATCTTATTTAAACTTATTGATATTAATAATTTTTCCTTATTTAATTTAAATTTTAGGCATGAAATATATATTAATTGGGGCCCATTTTTTTTTTGTCTTGCCCCGGGCCCATAAAATGATAGGACCGGCCCTGCTGTACAATTGCTTCTACAGTTCATCTAATACAATTTTCATCATTCAAATATCATGCGACAACAACATATATGCATACCATATTCAATTTTGAAAGAACAAATAACCCCTACTAATAAATTAATCATGGGTATAATAAATTTGTGTTCCTCAAATCTAACTCATAAACAATTTGAAAAATGGATTGAGAGACCCAAACTCCAATTTTGTTAAAAAACCAAGAGGTTCATCAACTCAGATGAGCTCCAACGTAATCTACCCATGCAATGTATACACACACATATTATATACACACACATACATATACCCACATAAGATTGAACAGAGGGTATATATTGGAAAATCATATATACACTTTTTTTAATCTCAAATTGCAAAGAACACCGTATATGAATTTTTTAAGTTCTAAGTTCAAGAAATACACACTTCTTAGTTATGTCAATACCATTCTACAACCTTATTTAAAAGGTTAAGAATAAGGTTCAAATTGGTCACTGAATGTAATCTGAAAATGTAATTAGGCCACGGAACAAAAAAAAAAAAATTGTAATTAGGTCACTCAACACTCAAAAAATGTGCAATTAGACCACTAAACACTCCATATGTATACAATTTCACCGGATAGCAGGTTACCTGGCTACCTGCTTAGATGGTGGCTACCTGCTTAGATGGTAGGTGAGTTGGCATTTTAAATAATTTTTAATAAATTTAAAAAAATTAAAAAAAATTAAAAAAAAAAAAAAAGGAAGGGGACCCGTCATTTAAAAAAAATTAATAATTTTTTTAAAAAAAAAAATTAAAAAAATTATTATTAAAATTTATTAAAAATTATTAGAATGCTAACTCAACTGTTACGTAGCAGGTCTACTTTTTTTTTTTCATTCATTGGCATAATTGTATTTTTAAGTTACGTTCAGGGGCCAATTTGAACCTTATTTAAAAAGTTATTTAAGTTAATAGCACACACCCAAAAGAATCAAAATATGAAGTTTAGAGATTATGCATGCATGCATTGCTGGCACCAATATAAATGAATAATCACACATTATTATTCAAATTAAAGCATGATTAGACTTAGCTCAAGGAAGAGACATTGAATTAAACATCCAATTGTGGTCCTAAGGTGACGGCGAAGGGGTTGGCCTGGCAATGAAGGAAGACAAATGATCACCCTGGAACTGCAACTTTGTATTTATTATCATCATGTGGCCCGTCTTTATCTTGATCAACACAACATTTTCCCAAACATGTATTGAACCATGAAGGAGATGAAGAAACGTATGTTGAGGATGAAAGAAATCTGCGTAAAATATGGCCGGAAAATCAGGGAAACCTTCGGCGAGGCTGATGGCGTTGTATTTTTCCGACGAGATAGGATAGCTGTTGAATAGGAGAGGATTTTATGTTCTTTGTCACCGAGGATTAAACCATCTCTGTCTCTTGAAGGTTAACACAACAATCCCTGTCTCCTAAATTCAAGGCAAAACTCTGTTTAAATAGTGTAGGTCCAACGAATTGAGGCCACATACTATTTAAAGAATCTTAACCTCTCATTAATTTATGGTAAATATTAAACCATGAGTAAGTTATGGACCACAAAACTTTTCGTGGCTTGCATTTTTCCCAACATCTCTGGCATGATTTAGACATTTTCCTCATTGATCTTTGGTTACTTTATTGGGACTGAACTTTCATTTATCCATGATGACAATAGACACAAACACAAACACCCTAGGAGCAGGACAAGTATATACCATGAGGGAATTCAAGTAACTATAACAATGAAGAAACTTTTACTAAGAATACCCTGTTGATATGGTATTATCCAAAAATCTGTAATAAACTGTAAACCATAAACACATTTTTATATTGCAAAGCATAAACAGTCACATGTAAAACCGTATTTATATATAATTGATCATACTACATACATGATTTTTGTGTTGAAGCAGTTCATATGACTATATGAGTACAACATTAATCATTTGTCTTATATTTATCATCGAGAGTCTTATGGTCCATACATAAATAGTCATAGGAAAGTATACTAATACTAAGAACCATTATGTACAGCATCATCATCTTGCACCTGTGTTATACTTATACAGTATATATCATAGCCATTCCTTATATAAGCTACAGCCCTCTGGAACCTGGAATGTCTATCCACTGCAACTGGAGCTCCAGTTCGCCACACTCGACGTTTCGTAACCTCAGAACCATGTTCTGGACTACCTTGCCATCTTCCCAGACGATACTGCTTTCTTCGGCCAGGCAGTTCACCCGGCTCGGTTTGATCTTGGTGATGATAGTTCCGCTAGGGATGTTCTGGAAGTGCATCCTTACGGCTTCTACAAATGTCACGATGTCGAACTCTGCATCGCCCATTTTGTCATCGAAACTGAATCTATCCTTGTCATACACTTGCTGCAATGACATCGAAACAAATTTCCCCATAAGGATCATAATACATGTACTACACATACTAATGTTGTTCCTGTGAGGATATAGCCATGTGCAATCCAATTATCAGCTTAGGTTTTTAGTTGAGATGAAGCAAGTGCTTCAATTTGGTATCTGAGCCAGACCCACATGCATAGTTTATCTCTTGTGGAGATGACATGGAATCAAGAAACTTCTTGTGTTCAAACATACCCCCATACAATTGTTATAGTCAATGGTTTCATATTCTACCTAATTACCTTAATGTAAAATTCTTGGTGGGCTGGTCCCACAAAGGAAAACAAAGCGAAGGATCTTAATTCTTACCAGCGTGATAGGAAGATTTGGGTCAGAAATAGACAACGTTAAGTCTTCATTCCATTCAGGATTAACATTCCTCTTCACCACGCTGGTCTTCAGTTTCTGCGACAAAAAATGTTTTAAGAATTAGCAAAACAAGAAACATTACCACTAATAATTCTAAGTAATCCACAAAAAGTAGATAATTAAGCTAACTCAGATTTCCAATTACGCAAGTCATAATTAACCCACACAATTAAACTAACTACACCAATCTTCCTTATTTTTGCTGTTCCTCTTTAAAAATTGAGACCTCAGTTATCCAAAAAAAAAAAAAAAAAAAAAAAAAACCTCAAATTTCTAGGGCATATCGACAGAGACTAGTGAGTCTCTGTGGCGATTTTCCGCCGCGGAAAACAGAGAAAAATGGAAACCTCTGTGTTCTAGGACTTCCAGAATTGAAGAGGCAGGGGATTTAATTACCTGTTTGCCCATGCGAACAATAACGTACGGATCGCTACTTAGGACATCTCGAATCGCCAGGTTGACGCCTCTGTATATGCGGATTCTGAGAAGTCCCAGCAAGCTCTCCATGGAAACACCACTTCTTCCCTTCATATTTGCCAGTAAATGTTGATTGTAGTCTGGTGTGTGTCGCAAATGCAAGGTGACCGCCTTAGAGAGAGAGAGAGAGAGAGAGAGGGATATAGGGTTGTAACTTGTAAGCTGTGATCATTATTATTAACGTTATACGATGTTAACGATGATTTATAGGGTGAGACCACAAAGCTGGTTTATGCCTAACTGCCAGGATACAGTCGGTACTGTAAGTTGAAACTCCCGGTAAAGAACAGCCATATGGGGTCCACGTACCACACTCTCGAATCCGTAATTGGTAATGACAAAATTAGAATATTTTGGAGATGGTAAATCGCAAGTTGTCCGTCATCATCATCTTTGATTGATCAAGATTTTCAATGATCTTTCTAAGTTTTTAGTGAGATTAAACCCTTATACTGTTGTTAGAATAAGACTTACAAGTGATTAGTTGAACCAATTGAGCTAGTCATGCAGGAAAGTCAGAATAGAATATTAAAAGGTAATGTAAGAAAGAATGAAATTTAATGTTGATCCGTGTTCTGAGTAAAGCCAATCAATTACCGAGTTAACTAACCAATCAATTTAGTTGCGCCTGTTACATAATTTAAATTAAATGCGACCAACAATATAATATACAACCTTATATTAGCAAAGACAATCCAGTCAAGTTAGTCCTACTATTGGCTTGATAACCACAAAGTTATAAATCTAGTAAGACGAATTGTTTGATAACTACAAAGTTATAAATTTAACTCTTACTAAGAATGAGCTATTGGCATTCTTGATTTGAATCAGTTAGCTACCAACAACTTAAGCTAATTGATCCTTTACTCGTTAGAATTACAATGCGGGATTTACCCAATGCGTGTGCGCACAAAAAAGAAAAAAAAAAAAAAAAACTTTATATTAGGACTTTATTAAATTTATTGGAATTATTTTCCATACATAATAACATGAACAAGACATTGTTTTTAAAATGACGCGTATATGTACAGGTGTGAATGATTCAAAACGGTGTAATTTCATTGATAATACGCAGTCAAGTTGGAAGCGCGACGCTGTTTATAATAACTTGATGAAACAAAGCATATCTGGTGAAGCCAGAGTTCTAGAAGGTGACTGGAAACCGACTCGGAAAGGAACGCTTGACTTTGAATTTTACCGGTTTATTGGCATGCCGGCCGAGTTGGCTGTACACTTGGATTTTTCTCTATATACCAATCTCTTCTTTATTTTTATTATAAAATGCAAGCTTAATTATAATTTTTCTGTAAAATAATAATATAATTTTTTTTTAGTACTACTGAGCTCTGCTACAATGAGTATCTATGGTGCTACTAGACCACAAGGTCCTTGCCTTGTAAATAATAATATAATAAAATGTATTCTGTATATTTTATTATTTATGTTTACTAGTATTTGCACCCGTGCGATGCACGGAATGGATTTGTTGTAATATATTAAGAATATATGAATCGATATATAATTATTTAAATTAGAACATCAAATATTATATAGTGTAATTAAATATATGGTTTGGATCGTTTATATATTTTGATGTTATCATTGCTTGAATTTGTGCAAATAATTTCTCAAATTAATAGCTAATGTCTAGATGTACGCATACAGTGCTATAACTTTGAAGATTTTATTTATCATTGTTTAGAATTTTCATAAATTAGGAAAATGTGCTCGTTCTCTAACAACTCGGTTATAGAAATGAATTGGTATCCTTATTCATTTGTATGGAAGATATATTTTTTTGTCTAGATATATAACAATTTATTCATTAAAAAAAAACTTAATATCAACGATTATATTTACACATTATTAAAACCTCTTTGTATACGACATTGGTTGTGACAACACAATCCTATTCAACTCAATTAGTTATCCTTTTATATTTTTAATCAATTAGTGATATCAGATTCATTTTCAACCAATTATTCTTTTTTTATTTTTAGTCAATTAACCAATTAGAATATCAAATGTAGTGATATTTTTACCTAATTTTCGTTCCATTTTTAATTAATGATGTAGATATTATTATTGAAATATTTCCGTTTCATTTTTAATTTACCTTTACTATTGTTTAAAATATGCATTTACTATTAATAATGTAGAATATTATTATTGAAATACTTTTCTCCAATTTTTAATTTTCATTCTATTTTTAATTAAAATGCAATGATCTGGTCATTTCTTCTTCTTTTTTTAGTCAATTATGGAGCATTTTTTTATTTGCAGTCAATTATTAATATTCGTTTCCTTTTAAAATTTTCAGTCAATTAGTAATATTAGATTCATTTTCAGTCAATTATTATTTTTTTATTTTCAGTCAATTAGTAATATTAGATTCATTTTCAGTCAATTATTATTTTTTTATTTTCAGTGAATTAGTCAATTAGAATATAGATGTATTGATACTTTTACCTAATTTCCGTTACATTTTAATTTGATGATGTAGAATATTATTAATGAAATATTTTCGTTCCATTTTTAATTTACATTTACTATTTTTAAAAATATGCATTCACTCCTTGATGATGTGAAATATTATTATTGAAATATTTTTTTCTATTTTTAATATTCCTTTACTTCTAAACAAAAAGGAAACAAAAAAATATTTGGACTTCTCACTACTTGCCCACATTGATGGCAAGCAATTATGTTTGTAAACATTTTCAAGAGCTCCTCTTTCCAAACATTTTCAATGTGAGATTAAAATGATCTCACATCATTCTTTATTTTTTTTTTCTAATTTTAATTTTATTTTGTATATCTTTTTGTTTGGATGATGATGATGATGATTATTATTATTATTATTATTATTATTATTATTATTATTATTATTGACAATTTTAAAAAATTGAGATTGAAAAATTCACCAAAATTTTAACAAATTCATCATTTTAACAATTTATCTTTAATCAAAACATCAAAAATATTATTTAATAACTTAGTAATTTGCTCTAAACTGCTAAAAACTAAAACAATATATACATTTTGGGTTAATCTTTCCCAACCCACTAATAATAAATAAATAAATAAATAATAAATAATGAATAAATAAATAAAAACTAAAATAAGAAGAAAAAATTAAGGTTTCTTAAATAAGAACCTTTTAACTTCTCAATACTTGCAACATTGATGGACAAATAATTATGTTTGTACCTCTTATATAGAGGAACTCAAGAGCTTATCTTTTCAAACATTTTCAATGTGGGATCAAAATAATCCAATATCATTTACAAAGGGACGGGCTCCCCTTTGTCTTTTTTTTTTTTTTTTTTTTTGTTGTTAATTTTAATTTAATTTTATATATAGTTTTATTTGGATTATTATTATTATTATTATTATTATTATTATTATTATTATTATTATTATTATTATTATTATTATTATTATTATTATTGTTGTTGTTGTTGTGTTGTTGTTGTTATTGTTGTTGTAATTTGATTATTTGGCAAATTCGACAAAATTTTAACAAATTCAAATGTTTAACATTTTATATTTAATCAAAACACCAAACATATTATTTGATAACTTAGCAATTTGCTCCAAACTACTAAAAACTAAATCAATACATCTACATTTTGGGTTAATCTTTCCCAAACCTCCTAATAAATTAAAAAAAAAATTAAAAAAATTTAAAAAAAAATTAAAATAAGAAGCCACTAAGATAATGTTTATTAAATAAGAGCCTTTTGACTCGTTGCGCTTCAATAGGTGAACAGATATTATATGTAACAGATCAATTGAATAGTTATGCTGTGGAAACGTGTCCACCTTGCAAGGTGGACACAATTCTATGTTAATAATTACTGAACTATATGTTCATAATTATAAAGCTATATATTCCTAATCTTTGAACTTCATATTCATAATTATGAACTCTATATTCACAATTACAAAACTATATGTTCATAATTACTTAATTATATGTTCATAATTATAAAGCTATATAGTCATGCAAGGTGGACACAGTTTCACATCATAATTTGTCGGGTCAATAGTACTCAAAAATAAAATATGAGCATTTGGACTTCTCAATACTTGCCCACATTGATGGTCAAACAATTATTATGTTTGTAAGAGGAGCATTGCTCCTCCTATATCGAGGAGCTCAAGAGCTCCTCTTTCCAAACATTTTCAATGTGGGATCAAAATGATCCAGCATTATTTATAAATGGAGCCCGTGGCTCCCTTTTGTCTTCTTCTTATTATTTTTAATTTTAAATTTAATTTTATTTTGTATATCGTTTTGTTTGGATTATTATTATTATTATTATTATTATTATTATTATTATTATTATTATTATTATTATTATTATTATTATTATTAATTTGATTATTGATAAATTCGCCAAAATTATAATAAATTCGTAATTTTAACATTTTAACTTTAATCAAAACACCAAAATATAATATATAATAACACAATAATTTGCTCCAAACTGCTAAGAACTAATACAACACATACATTTTGGGTTAATCTTCCACAACCCCAATTATGTTTATAAGAGTCTCATTGCTCCTCTTATATAGAGGAGCTCTCTCTTTTCAAACATTGTAAATGTGGGATCAAAATGATCCCACATCATTTACAAAGGGAGCCGGTGGCTCGCCTTTGTCTTTTTTTTTTTTTTTTTTTTTTGGTTAATTTTAATTTTATTTTGTATATAGTTTTTTTTGGATTATTATTATTATTGTTGTTGTTGTTGTTGTTGTTGTAATTTGATTATTTGGCAAATTCGTCAAAATTTTAACAAATTCGTCTGTTAACATTTTATATTTAATCAAAACACCAAAAATATTATTTAATAACTTAGCAATTTGCTCCAAACTGCTAAAAACTAAAACAACTCATATACATTTTGGGTTAATCTTTCTCAAACCCCCTAATAAATTTAAAAAAAAAAAACTAAAATAAGAAACCATTAAGATAAGGTTTCTTAAATAAGAGCCTTTTGATACGTAGGGCTTCAATAAGTTGAAAAAGTTTACATGTTACAGGGTCAATCGAATAGTTATGTTGTGGAACCGTGTCCACCTTGCAAGGTGGACATAGTTCTATGTTTATAATTACTAAACTATATGTTCATTATTATAAAGCTATATATTCATAATTTTTGAACTTCATATTCATAAGTATGTATTTAA